AAATTAAAATAAAAACTACAATCTTCAGCAATAAAGGCTTTATTATTATTCTAATATTAAAACTTTGATCAGTTCATACCGAGAGAACCTTAGGCGATAATTCAACTGAATAGGTGGGGTGACGTCAGAAAGATTTTTATTTGCTGAAATCTATCTGTTTGTTGACACATACAGTATCTTAGAGACTATTTACACATTAACAAATTTTAAGAGACATGAAAACTTGCGTATAAACGCGTAAAAAACGGAATACAGTTAAAAACAACTGTTCTATTGTACACTGATGTCCTATATTCTACTCTTATCAGCTTTGTTAATATTAACAACTAGAAGAACGATTGATTTAAATTCTAGCAAGCGTACTAGCAGCAAAGACTTATACACAGTGGTAGACTCAACAGTGGTAGTGCCCGCTTTAACATCTTAGCAACAGTGGTAGTGCCCGCTTTAACATCTTAGCAACAGTGGTAGTGCCCGCTTTAACATCTTAGCAAACAGTGGTAGTGCCCGCTTTAACATCTTAGCAAACAGTGGTAGTGCCCGCTTTAACATCTTAGCACGAATGGGCCGGCACGCCCGGAGTAATACCACGACCACACAGAAGACAGGCGTGAAATGGAAGCAATTCCGTGTTTCGTCTGATGAGTGTGGTGCCGGAGGCCTAATATAAGTCCCTTTCTCTTTACCACCCTTTTCTTATAAGGAGAGGTTGGGAAGAGGAAGTGGATTTGACGTTGGAGGAGATGCATAGGAAGTGGGAATATCCTCTTTATGTGCGTCTCCTCCTCCGTCGTATAAGGGTAGGCAACGCATCTGCAATTGCGGATGTCTATGGGCAGCGGTCACTTCGCCATCTTGGCGGTTTCAGGTGGCCACTTGCTCGTTTGCCACCTTATGTTATAAAAAAAAATACACATTTATTAGTTAACTACAAAAAAACATCAAAAAACCCAAGTAAATTTTCCGTAACCTATGTACAAGCGCTTGTATAGCACTAAGGCAATTTCGTTGACGAAAATTCGTGTTGCGGGAGCATAATTTAATTACATAGTCATTAGTTCGCCGGACTGACGGCAAATGACTGGCGACGGTAATGAATACCGCAGACACGCCCCGCGCGACCTCTACTCACTTTAGTACCTAAAATAAGAACTATATTAAAAAAATACGCAAAAATATAGGAAACAAACGGTTAAAACAATGCGCGCACCTTTGACTAAACAATTGCAAAACAGTAATGCGATTGTCGATTGTTTCGCTGCCAATTCAACTGTTTAGTTGCACAACTAAAAATCGAGTAGTTGCACCTCCATTTTCGCTTATAGGAATCAATAGAGAGTAAACAGTTGTACGATAGTTTAGTCAAAGGTGTGTGAGTTCTAAGACAAAATACTAGATAGAATGAAAATTGTAATTCGCTTTTAAGTTTATTTTAAAAGAGCGCCATACGTATTACGAATGTGTTACTACCAACATGTAAAATACAGATGTAATATTTAAAAGTAATGAAACCAACGATCCTATTTAGATGTACTAATGGAGTCACGTAATGTAATTCGCAAAAATATCACGCGACGTGAAAAAATTGTGGTGGTCTTGCGTGATACGGGTAATAAGCCGCAGGTTGTAATCGAAAATAATATTGAAGTTCTTGATATGTTATTGTATGATTAGGTGGTAAACACGCAGCTACCTTCGCCGAAAAAGCGAAGCGATCGCTGCCCATAGACAACCGCTTGTAGGCATTTTATGCCTACTCCAATCGACGGAGAAGACGCAAGTCCACCTTCAAACCAAAGTGGGTTTATTTTTTTCATTTTTTCCCTTTCATTTTTTTAAAGGAAGAGAATAAAATTTTATTAATATATAGTAAGAATCAAAAACGACATAAAACAGTTAATAGTTAACTTTTATTTAAAACTAGCTTTAGCCCGCGACTCCGTCTGCGTGGAATTAAAAAAACAAACGTGAGTAGCCTATATGTTCTTCCAGACTATTCTCTATATCTATGCCAAATTCCATCGAGATCCATTCAGCCGCTTAGGCTACAAACCCTAACAAACATCCATCCATACATCTAAACTTTCGCATTTATAATATTAGTAAGATTAGACAATTTTCTTAGGCAATAGTATATTTTAATGTAAATTTTATCAAATCTTTATGTTTACTAAAAAGAACGTCGTTAAATTTCTCAAGAAATAAGTAAAAGAAGTTAATACAACAATGATGGCAACATTTTTATGAAACATTAGCATAATGGAAAGAACACAATGGAAATCTTTTTCTAATTTAGATTACATTTTTTACAACCTTTGTACAGATATAATTATATCTAAAGTAGAACTTTAGGATTATCAATAAGTTAGATGTAGATTTATTAAATTAAGGTATTTATCTAAACAATTCTAGGATATTCTGCATAAAGTTATTCTGTCATGAATCGTAATCCAAATTAGAGCGCACATACCTTTGACAAAACTATCGCACTGTTTAGTCGCGTTGATTCCTTTAAGCTTATATGGAGGTGTGCACTACTCATTTTAATAAATGAGCACATGACCCATCACTCGCTTTTTGATCATGTTACCTTTCACGCAATACATCTCTTCCTAAGTCTAGGTACTCGCGATGAACATCCTCGTATTGCACCGGAACAAAATACTTTCAGTATCACGTGAGAATTATTCTAAAACATAGTGAAAATAAAAATCTTTCGAACTTCAAATTAATATTTTTTTTTATTTAATTTTGTCACTAGCGTTCGCCCGCGACTCCGTTAGCGTGGTATTAAAAAAACAAAAGTGAATAGCCTATATGTTCTTACAGACTATTTTCTACATCTATACCAAATTTCATCGAAATCCGTTCAGCCGTTTAGGCTACAAACTCTAACAAACATCCATCCATCAATCCATCTAAACTTTCGCATTTATAATATTAGTATGATTTCGTTTGTTTCAATATCACTAGAACACGATAAAAAATGCACTTTTAAAATTGTATTGACACAGCCAAGAGAGCTCGTTCACTCAATAGTAGAAAAAGTACATTTGGAAGTGAATACGAATTTCTCTCGATTCCCAAAGTTGCGGCACACCTCGCCGTTTGTTAGACGACATTGTTTGCGGAGCCTGGCTCCGTGCAAAGCTTTGTGTTCCAACCGCTCAAATATGCTACAAACTCGATTACATGGACGTGATTACGTTGGGATATAGGGTGTACAAAAGTAATGACAAGGGGAATTTTATAGCAACAAAGCCTCGAAAAACAGACAAAAACAGACCTATTGGATCATTGACCTATAAAGTAACAAGATACAAAGGATAGAAAGACAGAGAATATAGTGTTTACAAAGAAAACAATTCTGCTTTTAGCTTTACAATGTTTTTTATTGTTGTAGTTATATCACTTACTAACCAAACAATATAGTGTGTAGATTTATGGTTGCTAAATTGGCACATCTGATATCTATCCTTCCTTTTATTATCTTTTCTTTATCATAAATAAACCAGCGCTGTACCATTCCACCTAATCTGACCTAAGTGAAGACGCGGTCGAAGGATTAACGTATTGAACACAATGTAATTTACCATATCAAAATTTATTTTTAGAACATCCTAAACCATTTATCACATAACTGAGATGCGATGAAACAGCTATTCACATATTACCTCAGTTAGGGACAATAGCATTTACGTTTGGACCCATGGTTGTAAAACCGAAATCGTTTTGTTCAAAAGCCGGTCCCTTTACAATCGTAACTCTTACATCATTACACAAGGCGTAAACTTCTGGTCCAATAAACGTATTGACAATCCAACGGTACGGTGTAAAAAACCGATGGGGATTTAGAAAATTCGTGTCAAAGTCACCTTTGTGATTGAGATGATTGTGATGATTAAATCATTAATAAAACGTTGAAGTAGATAATAAAATAATCTACCATATATTTGAAAAAATCAACCAGAAAAAGAACGTAGATGAGAAAGAGATCACAAAAACTAAACAACAGACGTGAATTGATGACAAACAGGGACAGAATAAAAGCAACCATATATCTCGTAAACTGTAAATAAAGTAACAATTTCGATAAAAGAAATTAACGTAGGAATAAGTCCGTATTGCAGATATTTTAAAGCTATTCTTGGCGTTAAGTGAAAGAGAACCGCAACCTCAAATCCAGATGAGATTTTAAAAACAAAATGAAAATAAAATAAAAAAATTTTTCGGGCGTAATTCTTGTAATAGAAATTGTAGAATCTAGAAACTAAGAATCAAAGGTAATTACAGCTTTAAACGGTAAAACCTCACGGGTTTATTACAAAATGGTGCTAGTGAAATTCGAACTCTTATTATGATGAGAAAAAAAATCATGCTCTTAACCTGGTTCATTTGTTAACACTATTTACTGTGAAAATTAAGAATCGTCTACAAAATGTAAGGCGTGGTCTTAAAAAAATAGGCAAACCAACATGAAATAATTCTTTTTTAAATCATTCTAATTAACTATACTTGCGAACGAAGGTAGAAGTTTTAATGGAGAAACACTCACTGCACAATACTAATTCAAACTTTGTCATACAACAATTGGCTAGCCATTTGGCAACGGGTACTTTACTTACAATAGAACTGCTTGTACCACTTAATAGTCGTAGTGAAATAAACGCTTCATCACATTACATCCAAGGACAACAAGGAAGTCATGTATTATGGGTGTGTACAATTTTAACATTGATTTCGTGCTATTTTTTAAACGCCAAATCATTGAATTGCAGCATGGCATAATTACTCACAAGCTATTATTTACTTATCGAACATATTTTTTTTAGATCTAAAATGTATATCATTATATGACTTGTAATTTGATTAATATTTCCTTAGACTCGCTTGCTATACACCAGGCTTCCTTATTCCCAACGCAAACTTGGCAAAGGCAGTGTGAAATGATGACTGGCATCAATGTTTTATGAATAGAAAACGCAGTATCTGCCACTTACATAAAGGTTAATACAATGTTTGTTGGCTGCGAGCCAGCCTCCGCCTCCGCCTCCACACAGTTACCACTAAAAACTATTCACTATATTATTTTTATAATCCATAATCACATCAAATCAAAACATAATTCAATCCAGAAAAGTTACATCCATAACCATCACATAAGTTTAAACACTTTAATAAACAGATAAATTATTGTCATCACTTACATTATAATGTAATTTAAATATAAAAAGTTTACAATTTCTGACTCTTTCGTATCGCGTGTTTCACTTCAAGCGGTCACATCACACGTCCGCCGCGTCCGGCGGTCGCGCAAACACTGGGAGATGTAAGCCGAGAGCCGCTTTATCCCCACCCTTTACCCCCCTGCTCCCTTTGAACGACCCCTTCGCGCGCCACTCAATCAAATTTGTCGTGCGCTAACAATTCAGTACCGACATCGGGTCGACTTCCACCTAACTAGCCAGCTACAATTCTTATCTTTTATCAGTTCAATTTAAAAAAAGTAAAAACCAGTAAACGTAAACTTCAAAACCGCCAGCCAGAATGTCTGGAGAATCACGTGATATTTAAGTTCTTGTGAATTACCTGGATGAACTCCCGATATTCTTGTTAGATCAGCGAAAAGAAACAATTTGGACATTTGGGTGTCTTATGACACGAAAAATATGGTCTTCTAAACCTCACAAAGATGGACAAAATCGCAGAATATGCGGCGCAAGGAAAAGACATTCTAAGTTGAGAACCATCAGGGAGATAACCAATTTTGCCAGGGTTGTACTTTTTCGCTTGAGCTGACAGTCAACCAGTAATTGATTAGATGAAGTTAGTACAAAAATATTATTCTTTGTGGTATAAAGTTCAAATTTCATTCGAAATTTATATTAACGCTCCATCATTTTTTACGAGGAGTCAATAAAAAAATTCAGTCGTGTAATTGTCGACTACAAAGAGCGGAGGCGCGAGTGATTCGTACCCTTTGAAAATTTGATAACACAGACCCACCTAGCTTTCTCTCCCCCTTATACTCTCTTATCCTTGTGTAAGAACTCTTTAAATACACTTTAAGCAACCGCGTATTATATTTCGACTATCGTATCATGACACATCTCAAATATATTGTCAGAAGGCTTTTAGTATTCTATATTATTATTTCTGAAGTGTTTGATCTCGTTTCGGGCAATCAGTGTCAATTTTTTACAGTCATACAAAGGGTAAGGTACTTTTGATGTTGCTAAAGATTATAGAATTTATGAAGACGAAGGCCTCACAATCTAAATTTAATGCATTCTGACATTATACAAAAAACAAAAGTGTAAGGGCGTTTAGTGAGTCAACGGCCATAGACATCAACAACACCAGAGGAACTATAGGTGCATTAAGTGTATAAACTACAGATGTATCCCTATTAAGAAACTAATCGAAAACTCTTTGTTCTAAAACAATCCTTGATAAACCCTAAGAAAGATAATGTAAATGGACTATACTCTCTGTTCAATCTGTCGAATAATCTTTTAAATTCAAACAGCAATATTTTGTATGCAAAATTGTGAAAGAGGTAATATTTTATACAAAAAGCTGGATACATTGGTATTCTTCACTGCTACGTACCACCTTTGTTTTCCTCTCGACGTTCAGAACAAATTTATTCTGTATACGACATTTCGTTCACGAATAAATTGTCATTGAAAATTCGAGCTTGCTATGCTCGTCACCTATTTTCGTTTACATTCACCCAATTTCCTGAAATATGATCGGAAATATGAAACTATAAAACGATTTTTATTTAGGAGACAAAAGGAAATTCCGCAATACACGTAATTCGCGATTAAATACACTAATTTCTGACCTTTCTCCATAGATATTTGCAAAGGATACCGTTGGTTACGTATTAGACAGAAAAGGGGACATACAGAAAGAGAATATTTCTACTTCCTATATCTTCCCTACATTCCTAGTTTCTTGTCTTATAAATTATATCTTACTAATCTTATTCTTACTATTTATAATACAAATGTGAGAGTTGGATGGATGTTTGTTAGAGTTTGTTGCCTAAACTGCTAAACGGATCTCGATAAAATTTGGCATAGATGTAGAGCATAGGCTGGAAGAACGCATAGGCTACTTACTTTTTTAAATTCCACAAGGACGGAGTCGTGGGCTGAAGCTACTTTACATCACAAATATATTGTCTTTGAATCATGTAAATCCACAGTAATAGATGTGGTCTACACTCTTCAAAGGTACTTCATAGACGAGTAATAATTTAATTTCCGACCTTACAATTCAAGTTTAGGATTGAAGCTGAAACACGATCCCGTAACCTATTGAATATTCAATGAACCGTTGTCCCGACATGCTAAATCGTACAAATATATTTGAATAATGATACAAAGTCCGTATTACATCGCACCAATGTGAATAGAAATTGCTTGGAAGCCGTGGAAGTTTTGCCTTAATGTATACCTTACAAGACTTTAGAATGTAGCTATAAGAGCGCGCGCATACCTTTGATCGTGCGATTGTCGATTGTTTCGCAGCCAATTCAACTGTTTAGTTGCACAACTAAAAATCGAGTAGTGTGCGCACCTCCATATAACCTCATAGGAATCAAAGCGCGACCAAACAGTAAGATAATTTAGTTAAAGGTGTACGCGCTCTCTAACAGTGATATTGATGCTTTGTTTAGAATTATAAGTGAATAATATCAATATGAAATACCTCAAAAGATCTTTACAGTTTTTTATAGTAGAAGGTGACAAATAAGAAATTAACAAAGCAAAATTACCAGAATAGCGAAATGACCGTAGAGTATTTATCCGCATTTGAATATGCGTTTTCCTTTTAAAAAGCAAGGTTATATAGAAAGAGAGAATTTCCACCACCTCGCAAAATCCACTTTCCATGTCAGTTTCCTGTGCTGTTATCTGCATTCATAACAAAATGGTAAGTCGGTCACAACAGTCGTCAAGCGTGGTGTGTTCAGTTTTCCTTTATGTTAGACATAAAGCTGAGCAACAGCCATATACAACGCGGGCTTCACAACAACAACGTATACATGTTTGTTTTCTCTTTAACATTGTCGTGTGTGCTCAGTTATCTTCTGCTTCCCTGGTAATATATTCGTTGGTGGTAGTGTCGCTGCCACTATCTTATCTACTAGCTTTTCTCCGCAACTCCGTCTGCTTGGAATTAAAATAAATTAAATACCACATGTGTTCTTCTGGACTATCCTCTACATCTATGCCAAATTTCAACAAGATCCGTTAAGCAGTTTAGGCTACAAACTCTAACAAACATCCATTTAATATTAGTAAGATGTCACAGTCGAATTTTGTGACTGCATTCGTAGAAACAAGAACGTTAATGTGTAATTTAGATGTACTTTGAGCTTCTAAACAGTTCCTGCAATTGACACAGTTATAGCGAGAGTCTCGCGACCCATTTGCCGTGTTTATGTATGCATAGGCTGCTTTTCATTTCACCTTACGACCGACATTCAATTTGTTATTTTACTATTAGCTGTTTCTACTGCCTAAACACTTAACAGTCTATCTCTTTCAAACACTATAAAGTAAACGGAGATCACGTTATTTTACAACAGCTGTGTAATGTTTACATTGAAGAGTTTACACAAAAGATTCCTAATTTATTTAAAATGGATTAAGAAACCGTGAAACCGATCTCTCTAATTTTGTTAACAATAGCAACATTTTGATTAACAACCAAAGATATTAAAAAATATGAAGAGCGTAGATGGCATAGCGAAAAAAATATTTTCACCGGTACTTTCTTTGAAAGGTACTAAACCAATTGTTCAAGTTTAGTGTCTCTTCTTGTCCTTGTATTTACATGTAATAAAAAAATTACAAAAGTATAATAAGCGCCATCTTTTGTTATAAAATAAAATGTAAACATTTAATTAATTGAAATACAATTGATTATATTGACATGTGGTTTTTAGGATTTATCAATAGATAGCGTTAGTGATGATTATGTTAAGAATGTTTCAAGTGAATTGTCAAATACGCCTACTCTATATGTATTATCTCTTCAAAAGAACCAATTACAAGGCTTTACTTTACAACAGAGTTAAATAGTTCTTTGTAAAACGAGATAAAAAGTGATAACCGACGAGGATGGGATTCGAACCCACGCGTGCAGAGCACATTGGATTAGCAGTCCAACGCCTTAACCTCTCGGCCACCTCGTCGTGTCTACATATATACAAATAACTAGCTTTGTCCCACGACTCTGTCCGCGTGGAATAAAAAAACAAAAGTGAGTAGCCTATGTGTTCCAGACTATCCCCTACATCTACACCAAAATTTCATTGAAATTCGTTCAGCCGTTTACACTACAAACTCTAGCAAACATCTATCTAAACTTTCGCATTTATAATATTAGTATGAAGTAATATAAATAAATACCGATCTTATTCATAAACTTCTAAGACAGAATTCATTGATTAATCTTATTTCATTTTCAGTTCAAAAACTACAGTAAAAGTAACAACATGATTTGATAAATTTGTCTTTAACAGTTTAATTAACGAAACACGTATTTCAATACGAATAAGTCAACATAAACTTCGACTCAGTATTATTTATACAATGAATTAATTGGCGGAATATTCAGCAAAATTAATGACTAATTAGTACAACATAAGTACCTTGTAATATTTAGCTTGAATTCAAATTAACGGCATTGTAATATCTTGAAATAATCTTTTTAATGTATCATTAGTGAACAATAACACTATCAACTCTACAGTTTCGAGTTCGTCTCCGCCGACACACAGCGTCCCCCCCCCGCACCCCCCGCGCCCCCCGTCCTGACGAATCGCGCGTAGCGGGCTAGGGCACGCAGTGACCGTCGCGACGCGATAGCGAATAAAGCCGGCATCCACTCACCCTGAAGAAGGACCCCCTACGGGTTCGAAACTGGTCGGTGCCTACACCGAAAGTTCCCACGTGAGTTTTAGCCGTGTTATAAATAATATAGTATAATGTCTCACGAAAGTTTTAATAAGTTAATCTTTTTAAGTTACATATTAAAAGTTTATTGCCTAATTTTAGTCCCTTTCCACCCTTAAGAAGAAAAGATAGGAAGGAAAAGTGGATTTAATGGCGGAGGAGACGCATGGGTAGAAAGGGGATATTTCCTCTTCATGTGCGTCTCCTCCTCCGTCGATTAAGGGTAGGCAACGCATCAGCAATTACGGATGTCTATGGGCAACGGCCGCTACGCCATTTCGGCGGATTCAGGTGGCCGCTTGCTTGTTTGCCACCTTACAGTA